TAAAATAACTATTAAAAATTGAATGTTCAAGAAAGAAATTTCTTTTAAATGTCTACGAAATTTTCTGAGCAAACACGGTAAGTGAACTTTCAAAACATGAAGAACTGAAATTCAAGAACAAACTCATTTTAGTGAATTTTTTTAATGTTATTTTAAGTATTAGTTATTTTTATTATTTAAATTTAACGAGTTTCTTGCGCTTGATACTTGCTGCAAAGAACTTTTATGTCAGGTTCCAATTTAGATAACTTGGGTCTCAAGTCGACCAGTTTCATTATATCCAACCGATTTCTTTCTTTCTTTTTTTATTTTAGCAGCAAATCATGTTATGGCACTAAATCTGCATTCAGGAAAATATGAAGATGGAAACGGTAACAATAGTTCTCTCGCAAATTTTGTTGCATTTGGACATCTGATTCTGGTTTCCTCACAAAGCTATGTCATCTCTCCTTTTATATTAAATAAAATTTTAATTCACTCATCATTTTGCATTTCTGCAAGTTCTTCTTTTTACTGCATATTTGAAATAACAATCAAATCCACTAACATTGGCTGCACCATCCAAGTTGGGAAATAATTTGTTTTAAGTTACAAAATATTTTAAATCGGCCGATAAAATTTTCAGATGATTGACAATAACAAGTATAGCAGTAAGTCACATCACATGTTTGGAGCCAATGAGACTTTTCAAAATTTTAGTGGTAAAATAGTATATGCCTGACATAATTTTAACAAAAGATAATGAAACCAAATATCTTCCTTTTGCATCGACATCAGTTTTATTTGCTCTTTGAAGTTGTTTATTTAATATATTTAATTTTTCAAAGATAGCGGCTAAAATAACCACAATGCCTGTTATCAGCGTTTGAACGATTTTTATCTAGATTGTGCTTATAAATAACTAAGGTATCAAATGTTCATAATCTTTCCAAGCAGTTTTTTAAAGCCTTTACTTCAGGTGAGTAAAGTCTCAATAGTCTTATTTTGTCTTTATAAATAACTGAAGAAATTCAATTTGGCCATAGCTGAAGAGTGATACACTTTATAATGAATTATACTTCATTTAAACAGGCATGTTTTTAGCACACGTTTCCTGAGAATATCAAATGTCAAAGAAGCATTTCGGGTCTTCTTTTATCATGTTAAGAAATCCTTTTTCTTATTCTGCTTATTTATTTCAACCATCATTAGGAGCCCATCTGCAGTACAAGAGCATTATATTTTTTATTGGCAAATTTTTTAATTAAGTAATTTTGTAGCTTACTATAAATATTTTGGAGGTAGTGGTCCGCTAATGATTTCAGAAAAAAATTCTTCGAAAATCTCCTTATGAATATATCTTAACATAAGTCAAGTACATAGTAAAGTTGACTGTCTCTCAAGTTGGTTAATCCATTGCACGAAAAAATTTTTTCCGCTTTTAACAAATGTTTCAGTACCTCATTTAATATTCTTCTGCAAACAGATTGTTTTTAGAAGCATAGCTTTAAAGTCATGTCATCTTTTTTAGAACAGTTTTAATGCTGATTCTGATGTTTGTCAATTCCCCATAGTCGGCTTTTCCCGATTAAGCGATGGTATTAAATTTGATAAAGCCTCAAGAGCATTAACAGTTGCATGAGCAGTAAATAGAGACTTTAATAGCTCTTTTTCAAAAATTTTCCTGAAAGAAATGAAAATAATTCAAATCTGAGTTAATATCGTTATGTTACCTTCAAAGTGCCTCAAGACGACCTAGTTTCATTTGATTGTGGTAGGCATTATTAGCATAAAAAGACAAAAGGTGATCGTTTAATGGACCGGGTACGTAACCAAATTTTAATATGCCTTCGAATACCGTTTTTTTTTTTTTTTTTTTTTTTTTGCTTGCACCCCTCATTTTATAAGGCTGAAGAAACAAATATAAGATCAATATAAACAAGCTGAAGTGAAGCAGCTGCTGTTGCCATTCAAGGGAAAATATCCGGTTGCCATTTCTCAGTAAAAATAAAATAAATTGTTGTCTTGAATGTGCGAGAATGTCGGAAAGCTAGTATCCTTATTAAATGCCTTTAAAAACATTAAATGTCCATGTCTAATGAATTCTTTATAAAATATTTAAAATGCACCGCAATTTAAAAATTTTTAGTACATCACTTACATTTTTCTTTATTTGGGGAATAAAAATGAAATTCGAAAAATTTTGACTTTATAAACATATTTAGAACATCCTTTGTCCCTTAAACTCGGCGAGTCCATTTCGAATTGCCCCCTTGTTAGGAACGCCCCACGTTGGGAAACAAGGGTTTAGATGGATTTCAATGGGTTTGTAGGAAGAAAGGTTCAGCTGGTCACTATGTGAAGCATTCGATCAGAAAGAGTAGCTGGTTTGAAAAAAAGTGATTTGAGTATGATTTAGATTTTGATTTTTACGTGGCTCTGAGTGTACGAAGCGAACTCGGAAATCATGGTAAGTGAATACAGTCAAAAGTCGTTAATTCAGACACCCATAATCCAGAATGATCTATAATCCGGACCTCAAAGCTACAAAGTTTCTTTGCATGCGTCGCATTGATGCATGCATGTAAGACCTTTACGGCTGCGAATATGCATTTGTGCATGCGCATAATACATGTACGCATGCGCATTTAACGTATAACGGACGGTATAATTTAAGCTAAAATTATCTAATTCAGTTCATGTTGCAGATTGCGTTGTTCCTTAATCTTCGAATTGATCCGGCTTATTATTTTTGCAGACTGTTAGAGCAATTTTATAAAAAGTAAGCTTGAACTTTCGATTATGTCAAAAGAATTTCTGATATATATTTACTAATGTAAAGGATCTGCAAAGCGAAAGTATGTTTCGAAGTCTATTAACAAAAAGGGGGAATTGCTGCAAAAAAAAAAATGGATAAAGGCATATCCTTATTTCTCTAACCATTCCGAAATCTGTTTATCAATTTCAAGCTGCTTGCGGGGGGAAGGGGGGAAGTCGCAGCGCGCAATGAATGGAGTTGATCTGTCAGCACTACCCTTATCTTCGGGCAGATGTTTTATTTTATTTGGCTTATACTCCTTACTAATGTATATTTATCTCGATGTACTCCGTCTTTGATATGATTAAATCAAATTCCTCGTCATTATAATTTGCTTCTGATAGTGAAGAAAGTAACAGAGAACGTTATTAAAAACGAACAAATTTCGATTGACAAGTTACTCGGTAATCTCGACGCAGCAATTATAGGACTTGAAAGCGGAACTTTGTACTGATCAAGAAAATATGCTTTTAGAATTAAAGAGAAAAAGATTATCACATAAAACAAGCACTAACAACTTACATTGAAAGAAATGTTAATAAAGAACAAATAAATATTAGCTTTTTTTTTTCCTATTAAGCCTTTAGATCACAATTCCGTGTTTTCATAAATTATGGTTAATATTTTTAATTTTATAATTTTGCATGCTATCTTACAAATTTAAACTGATGATCTATAATCCGGATTGATGAGTCCCGACGAGTCCGGATAACGACTTTTGACTGTATTTGCTTTTGGTAGGCTTAAATGTACAACAGTTTTTCCTTTTTTTGTTATTTTATCTTTGTTTAAATGTATTTTATGAGATTTGTATTTTGGTGCTATATTGTAAATTGGGTGCCTCCTTTGACTTTTTAAGCGAAATATGTGTATTGGACAAAGGAGTACGCATTGCATTTGTGGAATTGCGGATCTTTTTTTTAAGTGAAAAATGTCTACGTGTACATGGATAAAGTTAAAAGAGTGCACATGCATTTTTGTGCAATTCGGGATTTTTTTTAATAAAAAGTCGATGGGTACGAGTTTGTAATGTTGTCTTGTTAATTTGGCTTTGTGTAGTAGCGTTTTTGGCAAAAAAAATCGCCTTCGCAACCAAAAATAACACAAAGAATTTCCAAAATCGGTATTCATGTACCACCAAAAATCGCCAAAGGATACCTTAAACTATACTTTTACCAATATTAGATAACATTAGATTACTTTATTATAACAAAGTATACAAAGTTTTTCACTTATATTAGACATCAGAAAAATTATGTACAGAGACAGCACTCAAACACTCACCAAATAAATGTTCTGCAGCTTTAGCTACCCATTAGGTCCCTTAATACAAGAAATCGGATATGTGCTTTCCCAAAAAAGTATTACAATTTGACTTAATGTCATTTTACTGAAATGCACTTGTTACATGTTACAATCTAGAATAAATGCTAGGGAATTACATAACATTTAAACGGGCTACACATCTTTAGATTTCAACAGTAAATGCAGTGATGAAAATAATATTACAATTCATACAAGTGAAGTACAATTCATAGAAAAGTATTTCATCCTTCTGAGGATTTTGTTTTCATTGCTTCAGCTTCGTATGTGTTCGCACTTAATGATTTTTATGAACCGTCTTTATGAAAAAATAACCAGTTTAATGCATTTCATTCAAATATTTAAATTTTCTTCTCAGCTCCTAAATAAATACAATTTCTAGGGTATAATACCCAAAACAAGTATAGGTATTTTTAAAATTTAGTACATTTAACAAAAAATATTTATTACTTCAGTACAGCCTCGAAACGTTTTTCCTGGCTCAACATGAATTAAACTGCACGTTTTACAACCGACTAAATACATGATAGAAATGCGATCTAATTTAAAAACAAATAACTTATTATGATATTTCGATTTAAAAATTCTGAATTAAATTCCTCATCCAAGTTTAAGCACTAAGTATCGCAGCATATATAATATGCAAAACATTTCAGTACTAATGCGTGCCCACTATCCTTAAATTTTAAAATACGCGAATATGCTAGAGCTCCATGATCGACATTTGATGCTGTAACAGGGATCACAAATTTCATAACTGCAAACAATTTCAAAACAAATTTTGCATTACAACTATGCATCAGAGTTAATACTAGAGTAGCTTCCATTTACCACAGGATTCACTTTATTTAAATTATAGAAGAAAAAAAAAAATATTTACCATCATAATAGTAACAAACTCGTTTCTTTGAGTGAGGAGCAGTCATGATCTTATATGTTACTAATTTTCATTCACAAAATTAAATATATATATTTCAAAAAACTTCAGGAAACGAACAAAGTTCCGACCAAAAGTAACGTGCACTGATGCCAATATGCCATTGCGAAAATTACAAAGCCGGTTAATTTCCCGTCAGTTGCACGGCTAGGAGCCAAAGAATCTCTAATTCTTTGTAGGAGCCTACGCGGTTAAGGTTCGGAGAACAGCCTTGGTTTCGCCAAATTGGCTCCTTTAAGGATATGGGCGACATTTCAT